CCTTCCTTCCTTCCTTCCTTCCTTCCTTCCTTCCTTCCTTCCTTCCTTCCTTCTTTTGCAATACCCCAGCCCTGGGCACGGTCATTGTCCTGATTTGCAAAGCCCTGCCCTTACAAAGGGAACGGTGAACCGGCAGGGCCCAGTGCCCAGCGCCTCCCTTTCCTGGGACGTGGGTGGTTGGGCCCCTGTCCTTCTCCCTTTGGGGACAAGCAGAGCCCGGCCAGGGTCTCTCTCTCTGTGGCTTCCTTTACTGGGCTCAGCCTCTGCAGCTCCAGAGAGTCCGGCTCCTTACTGGTGCAAGGCCGCCATCTGCTGGCACGTAGAGGTCATAACAAGCCAGAATTTCTAATGACTTGATATAAAAAGGTTTTTTTCCTAGCCCTCTTCCCCTCCCAAATGGTAAAAGTAATCTCCCTCAAACTGAGTTTTGTGCCACAGCTGATTTTCAGGAGTCCTCTGTAAGGAAAACAGGGACAACCCCAGTCGTTTTCCTCTCCCAAATGCTCCCAGGGGTAGCAGATGGCAGCAGGGGTCAGCAGCACCAACGTCCCTTGGGTGGTCACAGCTGCCTCTAGACCTTCCACGTGCTCCATGAAAAAAACCCTGCTCTAAACCCCTCTTTGAATGATGCTTCATTCCTGGGGGGCGTCGTAGAACGAGGAAGCACAGAGCACTCAATCTGAGCTTACGGGATGATGCTGGGGGTGGGCGCGTGAGAAAGCAAGAGCTGCGGGTCTTGCAACAAGCATGGGGAAAGGCCTAGACAGAGGGCACGTGTCCATCTACTACCTGTCAGACTTGCCTACTTCACAGAGTTGTTGTGGGGAAAACTGGAGAAGCGGGGTCATGCAAGGAGGGGCTGTCAAAAAAGGGTTAACGTGACGGTTGCAACTGAGTGATCAAAGCCCCAACCTCCTTTACATGATGCATGTAAAAAAGGGGGCAGGACTTCAATCGCACAGCTGCGGCCACCATCTTGACTTTTTTGACCCCCTCCCGCAGTGCCCCTATGGAAGAGAACGTGGCGTGAACTCTGCTTCAAGCTTCTAGAGAAAAGGCAGGATAGAAATCATACAATGAAATAAAGTAAATAAATCCAGGAACCAGGAGCCTCCACCTCTATGATAATGGGAAATAGGGACATCTCCATATGGTATGGGGTGGTCGGTGGCTCAGTGTGTGGTAGGACCTAAGCCACTGACTCGGCATGTTGGGTCATCCAGCCTGACAGGTTTAGCAATCCTGTGGCTTAGTTATTCACATATTGCGCGCATACAGCAATGGCGTTTTGTTAACCCAGGTTCAGGCTGTTCTCAAAACTTCTGGCTCTTCTGTAGCAAAGCTTGCCTTCCCACAGACCAACATAACCTAGGATCCTTAAGTCAATAGTGTTCGCATTACGGTTGTGGAATGCTTAAAGCAACCATGTCTTTCCCCAGGACCACAGGGCTGCCCTTCACAACTAACTCATAATCCCAAGAAAAGATGTGCTTGGGTTAAGGCAGGGTTTCTCGACCTCGGCGACTTTAAGATGTGTAGACTCCAACTCCCAGATGGCTGGCTGGGGAATTCTGGGCGTTGAAGTCCACTGATGCTGGGTAGGGAATTCTGGGAATTGGAGTCTACCCACACTGGCTGGGGAATTCTGGGGAGGTTGAGAAATGCTGTCTTAGAGTAATGACAGGAGCACATTTTTTCCCCTACCCCCCTGCAATATGGTTCTTCTACAGCAGGGATCTGGACTCCGCGTCTTGACTGCAGGCTATGTAAACCCTATTTTGGGAAGAAAGTCTGCAAATCAGGCTTCCCCGCCTCCATGCTCTCCAGATGGATTGGACTTCAACTCCCAGAATCCCTAGCCAACACCACTCATGACAGTGCTGGCTAGGATTTCTGGGAGTTGAAGTCCAATGCTTCTGAAAACCCAATATTTCTGGGTTAAAAGTGTTTAAGATAGCCTTCCCCCATGTGTTGGAGATCAGCTCCTGGAAGCTGTAACCAGTATGGCCAACTTTTCATACTGGTTGATCATTCTGGGTGGGAAGGAAGAGAGAATGGATTAAGAGGATGGGAAACTCCGGGCTGGATGGAGCTGATGAGATTCGGAAAAAAGGTTTTTCTGGAGAAAAGTCGCAGATGGACATGGTGCAATCAGGGATGGTTTGCAAGGACAGAAAAGTTGGAGACCTACAGCAAATGGTCCTGGTGTGAACAAGATTTACTCTTTCCTCTTCTTATATCATGCCTTTAATGTTGTTGTCTGAGTATTTTTTACTTCCTTTTTGCACTTTGCGTAATGCCGCTTAACCCCAAAAGGAAGACTGGGATGGGTATGTAGGAATGGATACATCCAGCGTGTCTGAAGGCATCAGGTTGGGGGGAAGCTGGTTGGAGAGAGGCGGCTGCTTTGATTTCGTGCTCAGCTTCTCCATCTCTCGCCCTGAGCTCTTGAGACAAGACAGGGTGGGGGGCAAAGTACAGTGGTACCTCGGGTTACGAACGCCTCTGTTAACGAACTTTTCGGGTTACGACCAGCTCCGGCCGCAAAAA